TCCAAGGCTGTTAATCTTCACAGAAGCAAAGCCCAAACCACACCCACTGCATGGAGCTGATTCCGAGTCACAGCGCCCCTAGAGGACAGAGTGGAACTGCCCACAGGGTCTCCAAGGCTGTCAATCTTCACAGAAGCAAAGCCCAAGCCACACCCACTGCTGTGGAGTCAATTGCGACTCAACAGCACCCCTAGAGGACAGAGTGGAACTGCCCCACAGGGACTCTAAGGCTGTCAATCTTTACAAAAGCTAACTGCCTCATCTTTCTCCTGAGGAGCAGCTGGTGGGTTCCAACCACTGACCTCTCAGTTAGCAGCTGAGCACTTAACCAGTGCACCACCAGGGTCAGTTCTGTTTAGCATGGTGGAGGAAAAATGGAAGGGGACGGAATGGGCCACTTTGTTCCCTGAGAACAGGGCTGAAAGGCTGGCAGAGAAGGAAGTAAAGTCGCAGGGAGAAAGCGGTGGCGTAGTGCCTAAGGCATCTTGACTGCTAACCAGAAGGTTGGCGGTTCAAGCCCACCAGTGGAAGGAAGACTGGGCAATTACTTCTGTAAAGATTTACCGCCTTAGCAGCCCAAAGGGGGTTGCTGTGAGTCAGAATCAACTCGGTGGCAGTGAGTTGGGGTTTTTTTGTTTTTTTGGTGAGGGCAGAAGTCCTGCATCCCACCCCCCGGCTCTGTGAGTCTGAACCAAGCCTTCAGTTCCCCAGGGTCTGAATGTCACCACCCAAGGAGTGGGGGCTGTATGTCAGGATTTTAGAAAAAGAGAGCATATCACAAAGGCTGGGGCTTCCGGGGAGAAAGTGCCCGAGAAGCTGGTCGTGGTGGGACCACTGGTCCCGAGCCCTCCCAATGGGGTGGGCCGGCAAGTCTCCACACCTCAGGCCATCTCCTCCGCAAAGCTGAGGTCTGTTGGACTCCTCCCCCACCCCAGTGAAGAGAGGCTCGGAGAGGCAGGCGGCCTGCCCAGGGCTCCAGAAGGTTCTGGAACGCTGCATGGTCGCTGCACTGGACTCCTGTTCATGGCCCAGCCCCACGTCTGCGGGAGGAGAGCCGCGCTAGGAGACAGGGCGCCTCTCCCCTCCCCCCGCCGCTGCGGGGGTTCCAGGCTCAGCACCCCCTTTGGATCTGCGTTTCTGCCCCAGTCTCCCTCTGGACATGGGTCTAGGCCCCAGAAGTGACTCTTTGGGGGCTGTTAGCCTCACCGCCCAGTCCCAAAGTCTCAGTCCGGGTTTACCTTGAGCTCATTGCTGCTCCAAACAGTTAACGTGCTTGGCTGCTAACCAAAAGGTTGGGGGTTCGAGGCCACCGAGAGGTGTGTTGGGAAAAAGCCTTGGAGGTCTATTTCCAAAATGTCACGGCCTTGCAAACCCCACGGAACGGCCCTGCCCTGACCCACACGGGTTGCCATCAGTCAGAGTTGGCAGAGTAGCAGCTGGAGTTTTTTGGTTTGAGTTTTTTTTTTGTTGTTGTTCCTCTTCTTCATTTCCTCTCTTCCCTTCTGTCCAAAGAATTCTGTGTTCAGGAGCCTTTTTGTGACAGGTATGTTTGGAGGGCGAAGCGTGGGTAAGAACAGGCCCCGTGGAGAGCTGGTAGGGCACCTCTGCTGCCCCCTGGTGGCGAGGCCTGGCCCTCGCGGGCAGCCCAGAAGGAAACCTGTGGGAGGGGAACCAAGCGTTTCCTGATCCTTCTGGGTCGCTGGGGCCGCCATGACCTGTGCCGTGTTTTGAAGGTCATTATGGATACAGCCCTTTGGGTTGTGCGCGCCTGGCAAGCATGTCACCGAGTGCGTTGGGGGTTCTTGGTCCTTCCTGCTTCCTCTTTGTTCTCTCTTCTCTCTGGGTCTTGTCCACACGCCCTGAGATGTCTTGAGGAGGGGGGGCACAAATGCCAGTCACCTCAGTTAATCACCTCACGTGCCTTGAGGTGGGTAGCTGTAGCCCCAGTTTACAGATGAGGAAACTCAGGGTCAGAGAGGCTGGAATAACACGCCCGAGGAGGAAGCTGCAAGGACTCAGACCCCAGCTTCAGGGCTCTGCCCTGGCCCTGGCCCTGGCCGCCCCTCCAGGGTGCTGGGGTGGCCCCAGCAGGAGGCACATGAATAAAGTCCATCCTGTGCTGGGGCCTGGGGGTGCTGGGGCTCGTAGGAGCCCGTCCCCACCTCTGCCCTGCCTGCCAGCTTGTGGAGCAAACATCAGACAGACACGTGGGCTTTGAGAAAAGCCCCTTCTCTCTGGCGGAGCCTGGACTGCGGGGCCAGACGTATGGGGTTCGGATCCCGCTTCTGGCCCTGCGAGCTGGGGAACTGCATAGGTTCTCTGAGTCTCATCTTCCTGAGACAGCGGGCACGCTGGTCACACCTTGTGGGCGTGTGCACAGAGAGCGCCTGACACAGGTAGCAGCCCTTTGTTCCACTTGTTACTGCTGCTCAGCCCCCACAGACCCAATGACGCCACTCGCCGCCACCCCTTTAAAGTGTGTCCTGTGGTAACTGAAACACACAAGGCAACGTGTGGGCGTCAGATCGGAGGGTGGCACCCAGGTGGCCATCCTGCAGCGTAGGCCCAGACACCCCCTGCTGAGAGGCAGCGCGGGCTGCCCCCTGCCGCACCCTGTGCCCGCACTGGTTCCCCTGGGCTCAGGGTGTGCTGTTTCCCAACGAGTCCATCTCCCTAAACAGCAGTTTTACGGCTCACGCTTTGTAAGACCGGAGCCTGCAGACAGAAGCCACATGTGTCCTCAGCACCTGGGTCGGCGGATAACGCTGTAGGTTTTCTGTAATGGCCCAGCCTCCTCTGGTTCTTGTCTCATTCCGCCCAGCGGCCCCGCCTCAGGTGTCCACTGGAACAGCCCGGTCACCCCGTAGGAGGGACGGCCCCGCCCCAGGCTTTCTTAGCAGGGCTGTCCTCCCCACTCTGGCCCTGGCCTGGCTGCTCTCCCACTAGGCAGGAATCTCCCTGAAACCAGGCGTGAGGCCTCTGTCACCCAGTGTCCCCAGCACCGAGAGCAGCCCGGGTGCCCTTGAGGTGCTCGGGTCACAGCTGTGGGCAAGGACTCCTTCCCGTGGTCCCTCCTTCTCAGCACTAGCACCGCAGGGGACGGGGTGGGGGCCTCTCTTGTGAGACACTAACGCTCTATCTCCTTCCTCAGTGGAGAACACCACACACTGTGAGTTTGCATACCTGCGCGACCTTCTCATCAGGTGAGTGGCCGGTACTTTTGGGTGAGGGCGTACCCCGAACACCCCAAGGGAGACCTCAGTCAAGTGTGGCCCACCTCACCCTATCCCCCCCCCCTGCACTGCCCCAGAAGGCCTCGAAGCCCCTTTCCAAACGCTGTCTTTGAACGAGGGAGCTCTGGTGGCACAGTGGTTAAAGCACTTGGCTGCTAACCAGAAAGTCCCACCAGCCCCTCCATGGGTGAAGCTGAGGCAGTCTGCTCCTCGAAAGATCGGCAGCCTCAGAAACCCTGTGGGGCCGTTCCACTCCATCCTAAAGGGTCCCTATGGGTCAGAATCCACTCAGTGGCAGTGGGCTGGGTTGGGTTTGGCTCTGGGAAGTGCAGGAAGTAGTGAGTGGGTGGGAGGGGACCCCGGCCGTGCTCCCAGCAGCCTGTGACCGGCCTGTCCCCTAGGACGCACATGCAGAACATCAAAGACATCACCAGCAGCATCCACTTTGAAGCCTACCGGGTGAAACGCCTCAACGAGGGCACCGTCGCCATGTCCAATGGTGTGGAGGAGAAGCAGCCGGAAGCCCCGGACATGTAGACGCCTGCCCCAGCCCCGACCCTGCCCCAAGTCTCCCGTCCCTCCAGGCCCGCCCACTCGCCCCTTTTATTTTATATAACTCTCTCCAAGTGTCGTCCGTCCCTACACGCTGCCCAGTAACAAGATCACATGTCTCATCTTGCGTGTGTTAATTCTTAGCCCACGGACTGGTCTGGGGGGTGGGGTTGCTCGGCTGGGGAACCGGGGCTCCAGCCTCTCCTGACAGGCTGGACTGTAGCCCGAAGGAAGTCAGGGAGGACCCCCTGACCCTAGGCCCAGCTCTGAGGGTTCAGAAGAGCCGGCCTCCTGCCTGTGCCGGCCAGGTGGGCCTCTCTGCCAGGCAGCCGGGGTGGTGGCCCCCTTTGTGTGTGGGGGTACCCTAAGCTTCCTGCATTGGGCCACACACTCCCCTTGTCCCCCGAGGCCGGACCCCTGAGCGTGTTGGGGGTGTGCCCAGGAAGGACACAGCGAGCCTCCCTGCTTGGCCTGGCTGAGGACTTGGACTGTGTCACGCAGAGCCCCCGCCCCGCCCCCTCCTCCTGGAGCGCTAACTCCCGGGGGTGAAAATCGACCCTCGCTTCGACACGGGAGGCCAGCGTGCTTCCCCAGGGCTGCCGCCCGAGTCCAAGCCTCTCCTGGAGCAGAACGTGCCTTTAACGCCCGTCCCCACGAGCCAGCAGGCGCCTCAGCCGACTGTCCCGTGGCCCCTCGTGGCTGGTGAGACGGAGGTGTGTCTTCGTCTGCCTGTCAGGCCACCCCCTTGCCTTCCCCACTAATGGACTGGGGTGCTGCTGAGCCCCTGGGGTCTGGCTGAAAGGAGGGAAAGAGTCCCCTTGCCCCCGAGGTTTTGGACGGTCTAGCAAGGGAACGAGATGAGATGATGAGGTGAAGTGAAGTGTGGCAGGTGCCAGGAGGGGTGCAGGGGGCTGGGTGGGCGAGGTGGGCTCCCGTGAGTGTGGAAGTGTGTCTGTTGAGGTTCTGGTTTGACCCCAGGCCATCCCTAGATGGATGAATGATTGAGCCCCTGCTGTTAACTGAACATTGGAGGTTTGAGGTCACCTAGAAGTGTCTGAGGAGAAAGACCTGGTGAAACCCTCCCCTAAACTCGACCCTTGAGCCCCACGGAGCTTGGCTCTGCGGGACACGTGTGGGATCGTCAGGAGGCTGACTGGACTTGACAGCAACCACTTTGGTTTTTGACCCAAGACACTCTGGTTGAATGACTGCCCAGCCGGCCTTCCGGCTACACAGTGGCTCCTCCTGCCCCAGCCCTGCTGACATCGAGACCCGGGGAGGCAGGAGGCCAGGTGAACCCGGGAGACCTTTCACTGCCCCGACTGTGCCCGGGCCTCCTACACCTCACAGAGGCCACAGTGGTAGAACAGGGGAGGCTGGAAGTCAGCGTGCGTGGCCCCCAGCCAGGCTCCCGGGCAAGACCTCAGGCGGCACACTGGCTCCCGGGCTGGCTGTCCTTGCTAGGGCACCAGAGGGCCGTCCACGCTGTGCACTGCAGGTCAGGTTGCCTGCTTCCGGTCTCCCGTTCCTGAGCCCTGGGTGGGTGACAGGCTGGCCTGGGCTGCTGAGACAAGACACGTGTGGGTGCAGCTGTGACTACAGATCCCAGGCTTGCCGCTCCCCGCCAGTGAAGCAGCAAGTGGAGATGGACCTGGGGATACAAGGGTGTGTGTGTGTGTGTGTATGCACGCACACACATGTGCACACATGCACAAATGTCGTCCGTGTTCGGTTTTTTACTCCCTCCCACCTAGAGCCGTAGGACCCCTCACCAGACTGTTTAGGAAAACAGTATACTTTCTGACTTGCCATGTTTTTGCCAAAACCACCATGATTTTCAAGGAAATACCCAGCCCCTGGGTGTGGGCAGCCTTCCCTGCAGGCGGACGGAGCCCAGCACAGTGCTGGGGCGTCACGTCACCCCCACCCGGCAAGGGATTGGCTCAGCTTTCCTTCCTTGTAATCACGTTGAAAGAATGTCCGTGGCATTGCCATCTGTTCCACCATGGCCTTCTGCTATGTGCCTCCTCAGAAATGAGTCTTTTTGTACAAATAACAAAGTGTTGGAGATACTTCCTGAAATAAACGTTTCCATTGCAAACCAGAAGCCTCCAGAGTGGGACTCTGTTCTCGGGCCCCGGAAATGCACTTGTCCCTGTGGCCCGGGCATGGGCTGGAGTGGTCATGGGTGGACAAGCGCATCTGACCAGGAGTGATCAGGCCGGGTTTGACGCTGAACTCAAGCCCCAAAGATGCACACACACACAAAAAAAAAATTCTTGGGAATTTTGCGATTCCAGGGCAGGGCCCAGGCAGGACTTGCTAAGCATAAAGATAACTCGGTTGGTTCTTAAGTGCTAAACAAGAAGCCGGTGGTTTGAGCCCAGCCAGCAGGCTATGGATAAAAGGGCTGTCTGCTTCCAAAAAAAGGACATCTAAGGAAACCCCTCGGACCACAGCTCTAATACATGAGGTCGCCATCAGTCGGGACTCGGTGGCAGCGGGTTTAGTTTTTAGCTCGTTTGTTTAAAGATGACACAGACGTGGTTGCTGGGGACTTAGTTCATCCACTTGACATTGCAGAAACCAAAGCACTCCTTTATGGAGACTGGAAACCAAGTGCAAACCCTTCACTTAGTCTCTAAAGTTATGAAGAGCTTCCGCTGGGGGGCGCTGTGAGCTCCTTCAAGGTAGTTGTTGTTGTTATTTGCCGTCCAGTCAGACCCGACTCATAGAGACCCCTCCTTGGGTTTCCGAGGCAGTATCGCTACGAAAGTAGATTGCCCCATCTTCCTTCGAAGGAGTGGCTGGTGGGTTTGAACTGCCAGCCTTCTGGTTAGCAGTGAAGTGCCTTAGCCACTATGCTACCAGAGCTCCCTCAAGGTAGTAGTGTAACCTTGCAAATAAATGGATTTTAATCTATTAGGCTGAAGGCTGAACTCTGAAAGCTTCAGCTCTTGACAGGAATTTCCTACCAACCTCACTCACTCAGAACCTGGCCCCCAACCATCTGGAATTAAGGAAGTTTGGCTCTGTCTGGCTTTTCTTTGGAACCCACTATGTAAGTGTCTAGATGTCCTGTGCTGTGTTTTGGGGCTCCTCGCCCACCTATCCCCATTGTATTAGACTCAGGGCTGTCGTCACAAGGTACCTTAAACTTAATAAACTGGGCCACTCCGAGGCCTGGTCTCTCATCTCAGGGTGGGGCCTCGCTTCACAGGTTCCCACACCCAGCCCTCCAGCACCTCCCACCCGAGGGCAGCCACCCTCCCAAGTGGCCCAGTCCCCTGCTGTAGAGGCAGGGTGACCAGCTGGCCAGGTTGCCTTGGAGGAGGGTTTCCTGCGGACGCAAGACAGTGGGTGCTACAGCCAGGAAAGTCCAGCAGACCTGCTGGGCCCCCATCACCCCAACCCTCTCCCCTCTCATCGCTGGCCCCAGGATCTTCCAGTCCAAGGGGCTCCTTGCGGAGGCCGGATGATCACCCAGCTCTGGAGGGGCTGGCCCTGGGGCACCTGCTGGGCAGATGGAAGACCCAGGGGGCTGCAGAGATGAGGGTCTTCCAACCCCTGCCCCCTTTCCCTGCTCTGGGCCGCGGGGTGTGAAGCCAGAAAAAGAGAACTTAGAACTGCAAGCCGTGGGCCTTACACACCCGGCTGGTGAGTGTGTGCTTTTCCATAGGGGAAGTCCGGAGGGGGGGGGGGCTGCAGGGGTGCAGCCGCGGAGGAAGCCCCAAGCTCTGGGGGCTCCTTTGGGGTCTTTAGGGATTCCCACACCCCCATCTTCAAACACTACTTTCTAAGCACAAAAGCAGCATGCGCATTGGAGAAAATGTGGAATATTCCAGAAAAAAATACACGACAAAGCGAAAGCTCCTATAGCCCCCCCACATCTGGCTCCAGCCGCGGGGCGTTTGCCCCGGGTCTCCATCCTGTGTGGCGTGAAGAGACCCCAGCGCCTTGCTTTGTATCCCATTTGGTCTGGTGTTGGGGTGCTAGGGGCTGCCAAGAGGGGGCTGGGCAGCGAGCAAGGCGCGGGGCGGGGCGCTGATGCAGAGCGCTGGCCCACCAGCCCCTGTGTTTGCACCTGTGAGGACAGGTGAGGTCTCAGGGACCGCCCTCCCTGCCCCACGGGCTTCCGGCGGCCCCCAGCAGGTGTCCCTGCCCCCGCGGAAGGAGAGAGAGACAGGCCTCTATATGGGCTGGGCCCCGCTGGCCCCTGGGCGGAAGGATCAGCGCCAGGGCCCGAGTGCGTGTCCTGCTTGCAGCAACACCCGGTTGCAGACGTGTGGCTGGGGGCCTGCTGGAGCAGAACCACGGTGGCCGGCCTGACTTGAGCACCCGGTCTGTGGGATGTAAATGCCTGGGAGAGGGAGGGGCTGGGGTCCTTACTGGGATTCCAGACTGGAGACCCACCCTGCTCCTGCTCTGAGAGCCGCCACCATTTCCCAAAAAGGATCTGTGTTTCTCTTGGTTAACAGGCTGCACCGGGTCACTGCAGAGAAGTCAGAACCGCAGGAGGCAGCCCCACCACCATGGAATTCCACCAGTCAGTCTGCAAACGCCTGGGAGTTAAGACTTGTGCCGCCCTTACAAGTTTTTGCTATTGTTTGTGGTTTTTTCCAAAATCTCGCTCCGGTTGTACACATCACAGTGGGGCCGGCATTTCTGTACCTCCCGAGGGACTTTTCGCCATCATTCAGGCTTTGTGGGAAAATGTGGTTTTAATTGCCATACTGTTGGCCGCCACTCAAACATCTCATCCACCAGAACAATGCATATGGCTGCCACCAGAGGCCTCGTGGGTACCTGCATGGTGACGGGTTGGGCTATCCCTGACCCTCCTTGAAGGTGACCGAAGTGCCTGGTGCTGGGTGAACTTGCTGAGAAGCAGCAGGAAGTGGCTAGAAGTGGCTAGAGCATCACAGGTGGGAGGGTGTCTCATAGACCCGGAGACAGAGGAGGTGGCAGCGTGTCTCGGCCATGCAGTGCTGCTGTAACAAACACTGCCCCTGGATGGCTTGAAC